CTGCAATTAGGTGTAGAAATAGAAAAGGAACTCTAGAGTAGGCAATAAGATCTTGCAAAGGAAAAAAACATAACCACAGCTAGACTTGCTCAGAGAACCAGTCAGGTATCACATGGCCACTTTTCAGGACTAGTAAGGCATCCTATAATTAAAATAAACAACACTCCCAAACGTCATTCTTATCACATTATAAAGACAAGCAGGGATATCTTATTAAAAGTACATCAAAGGTTCACTAAATTACACAGTAATAAGGTTTTGAGAAAATTAAACTACAGAAAATTAAGCTTAATGGCCTCCTAAGACTCCAGGTGGCACAGAGCTCTGAACCATATAACTCAAGTGGCCTTTTATTAAAATTATGAGACTTAAGTTCCTACAGGGGACAAGAAATGACCTGTGAACAAATAATATTTATTCTTTGAATAGCACAATATGAATGCTGGAGCAAGACTGCATCAGGAAAAGGTAAATGATTACCTCCCCAGGTTCAACATCTCTGAAAGGTCTCAAATGCTAAATGCTGACATGACAGATCCAGGTGCACCAAGCCACTCAAAACCCTGTATGCAAAGGAAGGAAAACCTCTCACTACATATCTGTGTAGCCTGCTGTCCCAAATCTCATTTGGGCAGGATAGATGTCTACACCTATTTAAGAGACTTAATAAGGACAAAAAAGATTATTCCAAATATAGTAACAGAATCAGCAGATTGGTAAGAGGATCAAGGAAAGATAGTCAATGTTTCTTTCCTTTCTCCAAAACTAAAGTGGGCTCGATATTTGAGAAAGGCTGGACTGAGAGCTATGAAAATTAAAGACATTAGACGGAAGAGTAAGTATAACCGTGGTTGGTTCATCTATGGGGTCCTGCCCTCAGTGTAGAGTTTGAAACAAGACTCAAAAATGACTCAAATGAAGCCAACCATTCAAGACAACTGACTCATTTCACATAATCCCCTCTCAAATTCCATATTGTCAAAATTAGAGACTTTTAAGCTGTTATGGGACTCACCTAGAAATAAAAGACATCAACCACCTCATTGCAATTCTGGGCCAAATGGCTAATGGTAAATAGTGAAGAAAATATTAAAAAGTTCAAGTAAGCTTTTATGTAGTTCTATAAGAAGGGTATATCAGTAAAATACCCTCAAGTGACAGTGGTTTTAAAAAAATTATTTAAGTCAAAAGGACATTTTGTTGATCATTTTTATCTAGTTAATAGCACACTGAAAAGTATTCTGAACGCCCTTAAAGGCAAAAATGAGAACAAGTCACTTTTCTGCACGAAACTTTACTGGCAGTTATTTACTCAAATTTCTAGAGCGAACAGTTCTTCCCTCTAGAAATTTGAGTAAATAACTGCCATAAAGTTTTTTAAAAAGAGGGGAGGTTAATGGGAGATTTTCCCCTAGCCTTGCATATTTCTTAACTTCCTTCCTCTTTTTGTTCCTGTAATTTTTTCTTAATGTTTCAAAGTAATCAAAATTTACTACCCCTGACCTGTACAGCTCAGTGGTTGAGTGTCGACCCATGAATCTGAGGTTCGATTCCAGGTTAGGGGATATGCCCAGGTTGCAGGCATTGATCCCCGGTACAGGAGGCAGTCAATCTATGTTTCTCTCTCATCGATATTTCTATCTCTCTCCCTTCCTTTCTCTCTAAAAATCCATAAAAATACATTTAAAAAAATACTACTGTGTTTTTTCCATAAGATTTGCCCTGGACTCACAGAATTCAAGGTAGCACCAAAAATAGTAAACTGTTTTGTTGGTTTAATTAAAGCTAAGTGGGTTAGAATACTAGACACCAAGCATTAAAAGGCTTGATTTCTACATCTGGTGTCCTTCTTTTCTCAAATTTTATTCCTGTTGCTAGATTAATGAGATGTTACTTTTTATTAAAATGATCTTGAACACAAAAGAATAGAAAGCAAGGTTATTCTTTTTCATTCCGAGTAGAAACTCAAATAACATAAGAAAACATGTACCACTGCAAAGCACACATTTAAAGCAGAGATACCCTGCACACTCCATCACTGTTTAACCAAGACAGCAGCCACTGAATTAGTTTGTACCAGCTCAAGTTGGTACAGAAACAGCACAGAAGAGCTAAAGGCTGTGATTTAAGGGCCCTGGGACAATTATTCTCTTCTTCCATTAACAATGAAAGAAATGCACTTGTCCGGAGGCACATTCAACTGTTCCATCAAAGCTACCCCAAATCACTCACCAGAACAAAAACCTAAGGTGTTCTAAGCTAGCTATGACAACCTCAGCAGTGCCTCTGTTAAAGCAAACACTCGGCAAAAGAAGTTAACCTGGACCCAGAATATTGTATTAAATGAAATATAAATATGAGAATTTATTAGAATAAAGATCCATGGAACTACTGTATATAGTTGAATAGCATATTGTTTGCCTCCCTATCAAGATAACAAATATATTTTTTTTAAATCCTCAAAATGGGTAACTTGATCAAATTTTAAGCATATGACGGAATTCAAGCATGAACTGGACAATAAAGTGTAGATGAGGACCTTTACTGTAACAACCCTGGAGAGGGTCAAAAGGCACCTTAAATGTTCTGACTGGCCTTCACCTAAGCTTAAGAAATTCTCAGGCGGATTAACCCAGAGCAATACCTCTTTTAGGAGTTGGATTAGAACCAAGATTATTTCAACTGCCTCCCCCTTTCAAAAACAGCCACAAGAGAGGGAAAAGGAATGAATACTAGGCCTGGCTATCAGCTGGTCTGATCTTTCTGCCCCAGTGGATAGTTTTAACTACTAAATCCAAACATTTACAGCTTTGATTTCTTATCTAATTTTCCCCTCTAACTCCTGCAAATAAGGGAGATCTACTAAACAGAGCCTCCAGGCCATTTCTCCATAAAAACACGTGGAGTAAGCAAAGAATGTCATCTGCCCTCTAGGCTCCAACACCATTCAACTCCCATGCCCAAAACATCTTCCCTCTCTTTCGTACCCAGCAGCCCTTTTCTGGTCTCTCTCCTCTTTCCCAAAGAGATCCAACGGGAATTTCCCCACAAACTTCACCACTGTGGAACAAGTGTATTTCATCCTCAAAAACAAAATGAAAATTCAAACAGCTAATGGATAATTTCTCAATTTAAAAGTTTCCCTTTATATCTTACACCCGAGACTGCTACATTAGAAATGGCCAAGCAGCAAAAGAATACTAACAAAAAATAAGCAAACTACCAATCATGCTTTGCTATCTTAACTTTTTTTGTGAATAAGACTGTTTGTAGCTATGATTTTAAATTGCATGTATAAAACAGTCATCATCCCTCCTAGGAAAAATTACCAATTCCTAAGGTAAACTTGCAATATCCACAACTCACAGTGTTGCACAAATATGCCTGGCATCTGGGTGCTACACCTCCAAACAGGTCACAATACTAACCTTAATTAAGTATTTCCATTTCTAACCAAACTAAAAATGTGAAATAACAGAAGAAAAATATCTGGGATAAACAGACTTGCATGGGATTTACGGCGGGAAGGGGAAAAGGGCTGTTCTAGGTTCCTGAAATCAGTTAACATAGTTCAATGGGCACAGAGTATGTGTGGTGGAGGGAGAGACCAGTTTAAGAATATCTGTTAAAAAGAAAATACAGAGACAATGTAAAGCAAGAGCTGAAGCAAAGGATATTACTTGAAAACTATAAGGACTCCGATTTCGAGGCACAGGTTGACAACTTCAATCAGTGACACGCACTTTTCACGCGGAGGTTTAACAGCACAATTTCAGAGCTAGTGAAACAGTACTCTCAAAGTCCTAGTCACAGTATTAGTAAAACACTGACCTAATTCTTATAGGTTAAAGTGTCTGGACTACTGGCTTGTGACAGGTGGGCAGAATCATTTCCAGCTTCATCATTCTCCCACAAAAGTCACAATGATGAGAGTTCTCCTGGCACTTCTGACCAAGTCCCACTTTGAATGAAGCCACTTTGTGAACTGCATGTCTATCCCCTTACGTCAGACTTGAAAACTTGAATTTGCACCTTTCTGGGTGTGTTCAAAATTAGGCTAACGATGATGCAAACAAGTGCCTTACACATCTCAAATTATTTGTTGCTTCCCATTCCAAGTCTCTCCCTACATTAACCTACACGACCTGCTACTTCCAGCCGGACAAATCAAGTTAACAGAGGAAAGTAAAAACAACAACATCAGGGATTGCTAAAACTGGAGCCAGCTACTGCAACATCGCTTCAAGGACTACCGGGTGCGGCCCCAGGTTCAAGGTCCCGCCCTACCATCCGGGGCCGCGCCACCGTCCCCCCCCCCCTCTCTTCCCCCTCAAAGCAGGGCCTACCTCTGCAGCTCCTCCTCCTTGATCCGCTCCTCGTCCCAAACGAAGCCCGCAACCGCCGCCATCACGGCCGAGACATGGCCAGCTCGGCCCCGCAGCCGGCGCCACAGGCGGCCCAGGAGGACCAGCCGCGCGCTCTCCGAGTAGAGGCGGCCGTAGAGCTGCGCGATCTGCTGCGCGCGACGCACGCGCAGGCCCGTCACGAAGCGGCACTGATTGGCCAGCAGGGCGAGCAGGCCCCCGCCCCGCGGCACGGCGCCCGCCGCCACCGCCGCCGCCGCCGCGGCAGCCGCGGCTCCCACCAGCCTCCGCGGGAACATGCCGCCAGCCGGACGCCCCGGACAGAGGAACGAGTCTTCGAGGTCTCGGCGGGCTCCTGCCGACGCTCCTAGTTGGTCAACGCCAAGCCTGCCATGTCTCTGCGGCAACCGGTGAAGAGGGGTCCACTTTGAGGCGGCGGCCTGTGACCGCTGCAGGAAGCGGACGTGGGCCGGGGATGGGAACCTGGTGGGCGGCGGGTACCAGCCTCTTCGGTGTCCTCACGCCGGCTACCGGGGCCGCAGGGCGGAGCGCGCGGGGAGCAGCGAGGCAGACGACTAGACCCCTGGCATTCTTCACCCGCCACACACGCTGCCCACTTACAACCTACTTGCCTCTCTGCAGCCCGTGCTCTAATTGGGCGCCTCCCGGGCTCCTCGCTGCTGATTGGCCGCAGCAAGTGCTCGTAACCGTTCCTTCCCGCCCCTTCGCGCACGCGCCGGGGCTTCTCTCTAGTAAGGTAGGTGGCGCGGAATGGGAACTAGTCAAGGGCGCTCCGAGAACGACCCTCGACCCCGCCGCCGCCATTTTCGAGCTGCCGACCCCGCCCTTCGGAGGAAGGGTTGTGGCCAGGCGCCTTAGGAATCCGGCGCGGTGCTGCGTAGCCGCACTTACTAGGCACTTAGTACTAGTTTGAGGTTTGGGTGGGAAGGGGCGTTGGCTTGTCTCTATGGAGGCTCTGGGGTGTTCAGTTAGTTGCGGTAGTGTGGCCTGGCGGCAGTTGCCATCACACCATTCTCGGCCTCCCCTCTGGTTGTCCCCGAATATCTGGGGCGCGGAGACAGTTCCCCGGGGTCGGAGTCTAATCTTTGCAAATCAGGGAGGACAGCCTTAGAGCCCCGCACTTTGGAGAGCCGCGTGGGCAGGTGGCCCGTCTGAGTCTGGAAAAGCGGGAGCCCTTTGGGGTTAGTTGCATTTACTCTGGGTCAGTACCTGCCCCCCTCCTAGTGACCCAAAGGCACCAGCTTGAGGGGGTGAACAGGTTTCCTAAAACCTACTTTGCAGCTCTCATGAGAAGCCTGGCTAAGTGATCTCAAAGGGCATTCAATGACTCTGTCGCTAACCTCATAAAAATGAAGCTGCTAGTGTCCAATAGGAAAACCTTACACTAAATTGTTTCTAGTTTTTTTTCACTTATATTAAGTACCTTGTAGACAGATAAAATATCGAGAAGGACATCTTGATGTTAAAGGGACTGTGCTCGTTCCAAGACAATGCATTAGAAATTTTTCTCTTACTCTATCTAGTGGAGCAATTTTAGATGTTTTTAATAAAATACATTTTTCCAAAAAGAGAACAAGAAAATCATGCTTTACAGGGAGCTGAAATTTATATCTATCCTATCCAGACTGTCTGATTTTACTCTGGGGGTTGGTATTGATGTTCCTTGAAAGCAGGAAAGGAGAAAGGGATATATAACAGAAAGTAGTATTTTACACTATGTTGAGCCAGGCTTTTTCTCAGCGATAGTAAGATGGCCAGGAGGGGGCAGTTGGCAGAAAGGTTGAACTTTCCTACTGTCCTGCTTCCCGATTAAAAGAAGCTTAGCACTCTGCTTGGTCTTTTTGTTGTGTTCCTGTTTTTAATTTGTTTTGTTTATCAAAATGAGCTCCTACAATCCTTCCATTTGCCTTCATCTTTACTGCCTTTCTCTTAGTACATAAACACAATCAAGCCTATCATCAAATATCTTTGAAAAAAATGAGGCTTTACTTTAACTCTTCTTTTGTTCAGATACCACCCCTTCTCTTTCTTTCCCAGCTCTGATTTTGTTTTTAAAAGGATAGCATAAATATACTTGCTGTCTCCATTTCTGCATCTATTTACCATTTCTTCCTCCTTAAAATTAAAAAAATTAATATCTTCTATACCATTTTCTCAACCACTTTTTTGTTTAGACCCTAACAGTAATCTCTAGCCTAACCTCCCAATCCATTGTCAACAAACTCGCTTGTATGTTCCAGAACAATATTGAAAAATGTAATTCCCTTTGTATATATTTTTAAAAATATATATTTTATTGATTTTTTACAGAGAAGGATAGAGAGTTAGAAACATCAATGAGAGAATCATCAATCAGCTGCCTCTTGCGGGATGTGCCCGCAACCAAGGTACATGCCCTTGACCGGAATCGAACCTGGGACCTTTCAGTCTGCAGGCCAATGCTCTATCCACTGAGCCAAGCAGGTCTCGGCTCCCTTTATATATTTTTAAGTTGATCCAAAGTACTTCATCATGAGCTCATCTTATTTAAATTAGGCTCTGCCTACTAAATTACCAAAACATAAAGTTGAATAGGCCCAAAAATAACCCATAGTAAGACAGAAGTGGTACCATCCAGAATTGGGCATGAGTAGGGCCAGGATACTGATAAGCTATTCAGCAAATGGCCTAGACATCCATATCACCTACCATTTTGCTCCAACATTCTCCCTTAGTTCACACATAAGACTGCATAAGAGTTGGGTCCCTTATGACCAGCTGACAAAGGAGGCGGGAAAAAGCAAAGCTTATTTACTGATATGTCTGACTGGTATGTCTGTAAGCCAAAAATGAATGATGGCTTTACTACAGCTCCACTCTGGGGTGATCTTGAAAGACAGTGGCAAGGGAAATTCTCCCAATGGATAAATTTTCTCATTGGTGTACCTGGTCATTCACTTGGCATGAACAGAAATGTAGCCATGGTTAGAATATATACGAACTCATGTCACTAGCTGTTGGCTTGGCTCATTGACCAGGTCCTGGGAGGAGAAAGATTAGAATATCAAAGATAAGGACTTGCCTAAGGTTTGGCTCAGTGGATAGAGCCTTTTCCTTCGGACTCAAGGGTCCCAGGTTTGATTCTTGTCAAGGGCATGTATCTTGGTTTCAGGCACACCCCCAGTAGGAGGTGTGCAGGAAGCAGCTGATTGATGTTTCTCTCTCATCAATGTTTTTTTCTCTCTCTCTCCCTCTCCCTTCTTCTCTGTAAAAAAAAAAAAATCAATAAAAATTTTTTTTTTTTTTTTTTAAAGATGAGGGCTGAGTGGATGGACTATGTGGGTGGGAAAGAAATGTGTGGATGCCCTCCAGATGCATCTTCTTGAAAGAGGCATTGAACAACTAAATAGAATGACTCACCAATTAATGTCAGATGCTACTGGCCATCTCATCATTGGCACAATGGGAACATGAATGGAGTAGCCATGGTGGCAGAGATAGGAGCCACTCATGGACCCCAGAGCATGGGCTCCATTCACAAAGGCTGAAAGAGATCCTGCCATTGCTGAATGTCCAACCTGCCAGCAACAAATTCAGTGCTGCCCTTCTCCCCCCCAACCCCCCCCCCCCCCCAGCCAAATAGCTCTCTTCCTCTAGGACAGTGTTTTTCAACCTTTTTTGGGCAAAGGCACACTTGTTTCATGAAAAAAATCACGAGGCACACCACCATTAGAAAATGTTAAAAAATTTAACTCTGTGCCTATATTGACTATATATAAAGTAATTCTCTTGAATAGGAATCAAATAAACACAAAGAAAGTATTTTATAATTACTTTATTATGAAATATTAAGTAAACAAAATAGTGAAAAATTATAAAATTCTTGTCTTGTCTGCACCTACGGCACACCAGGCAACATCTCGCGGCACAGCGGTTGAAAAACGCTGCTCTAGGAGAACCACCAACCACTTAATGACAAGATGACTACATCTGATACCATCCATCATGGAAATGGCAGCAATTTATTTTGACTGCAGGTATCACATTCTGGGTATGGTTTGCTTTTTCTGCCTGTAGGGCCTCAGCCAGTACCACTATCTTGTTTACTGAATGTCTGACCCATTGGTAGATCCCACATAACATCATATCAGACCAAAGGACCAAAGGAGTCATGACAGTGGGAGAAGACCATAGGCCTATCTCATTCTGTACCATCCAGGAGATCCAGCCCAAACAGAGAGAAGGATGGCCTGTGAAGGCACAGCTGGGCTACCAACACAGAAATGCTACCAGCTAAGGATGGGGCACCATCTTTCAGGACACAGTGTGTACCAGTGGTTGCCAAACTTTTGGATCTCACGGACCATAAATTCATAATTTTAAGTCCTGCGGACCACTAATATGATTTTTTTAAAAGATAACTACATTTGTAAAATGATGATCAGAGAACTTCCATTTTATTAATATGAAAAGCACCTATTTAATATAACAACATTATACTTAATCATAATAAAATCTTAGTTTGTTTAATTCTAATTTATTCAAGTAAGTTTAAGTTTTATGAAATAATTGAAGCTTACTTATTACAAATTTTACAGTGATATTTGCCTAAGTTTGCTTGAAATAAGTTTATGGATTTTTAGCTCCAATGACATTACTGCAAGACGGAGAGCTGTATTTATTTCAAGCGAGACCAGCTCTGAGTTTTAATTGCTCACAGATGAAAATTTTTTTCACACAAATATGTTGTTGAAAATTGAATCAAAATTTTCATTGCTTTTTCACTCAGCAATGGGTATTCACTTTTAATGGAGATCCAAAAAATGAGATCTTGATAAGGATGACTGGAATTTAGCTTTGAGACTATCATCAGGTGATAGATTGATGAAGCTTTTGTGATTGTAAGTGCTGTTGAACAAGGGTTACTCGTACCACCTGCCGGTTGAGATCCTTCTCTCTCATATATTCATCAAAGTTTGAAAACATTTGCAGATCTTCAGCCAACCACCTTTGCCACAGTAATATTTTCTTTTGAAAAGCATCCATATTACCTCGTAGTGTGAACATGTCCTTAAGTTGTCCTTGCAAGGATATGTTTATTTATTTTTTCAATTTTTTTTAATTTTTTATTATTATTATTTATTATTTATTGATTTTGTACAGAGAGGGAGGGAGATAGTTAGAAATATCGATGAGAGAGAGTCATCGATCAGCTGCCTCTTGCACACCCCCTACTGGGGATATGCCCGCAACCAAGGTACATGCCCTTGACCGGAATCGAACCCGGGACCTTTCAGTCCCCAAGCCAACGTTCTATCCATTGAGCCAAACCGGTCTCGGCATTGCAAGGATATGTTTAGTTCATTTAATTGTGAAAAAATATCTGCCAGGTAAGCAAGCTTGGCTACCTGCTCATCGTTGAAGAGTTCTTATACTTTCAGATTATTTTGCCACTGGAAAAATATTTTGACTTCTTCCTGCAGAGCATTAATATCTTGCCCCTCGACAGCCATCTCACCTCAGTGTGAAGAAGGTGAGTATAGTGGGAACCCATTTCTTCACTAAGTGCCTCAAATATTCGAGAATTGAGTGCCTTGTGACAAATTTCATTTATAATTTCAATAACATTTGATAATACTTCATGTAGTTCTGGGAACATCTTTTTCACTGCAAGTTGCTCACGATGTATAATAAAGTGTATAAACAAAATGTCTTGGTGACCAACATTTTTCATCTTTGCAACAATTCCTGAGTCCAGTCATGTTTGTGACACCATCTGTTCATATCCCAATACATTTTTTCCATTCATTCTATGTTCTAGGGAATAACTATTAAGTGCTTCATAAATCTCAGAGCTAGTTGTTCAACCTGGCAAGTTGAGCGAAATAGTTCTTCCTGTAACTCCTTTGCACTCAACCCTCACAAAACAAAGGAGAAGCGTCTTGTTACTTACATTGTTTTGTCAAGTTGAATTGAATAAAATGGTTAATTTTTCACCATTTTTATAACTTGATTTTCAATATCTTCAGCCATGTCTTCAATTCTGTATTTGACTGTATTAGCGGACATAGGAATTGCTTTCAGTTTCTGGATGTCTGCTTTTCCAAAACCTCTTCACTGGCTTGTAACATAAAAGACTTATTAATTCTTCTCCAGTTGTATATGGTTTTTTATTTTTCTCTATCTGAAGTGCTATCAGTTAAGCCTTTAATAAGGATTTATCTCCAGCAGTCATTTTTGCTAAAGCAATTACTTGCTTTTGCATATTTTTGCACATTCTTTGAAAATATTCACGTGGGGTTTTTTTTAGTTTTTTTTTTTTAGCTAAATCCGGGTGTTTTGATTGCAAGTGTCTTTCAAGTTTCAAAGGTTTCAAGGCATCATTGGATAAACTCAGAACAGACAACCAAATCGGCCGTGGATCCAGCTCACTACCAGGTTCTTAAATCCAATTTACAAGTAGTTTGAATCATGTTTTCTTGATACTTTGAGATTTTTCTTCTCTCCACCTCCAGTTTGAATATTCTTCCTAATGGTGCCTGACGAGGACTGTGGACACTCTGATTCGTTGATCAGCTCACGGTTAAGTGAAGTACACATATTACTATTGTTACTATTATCATTTGTTATATTATCTTTGTATTATTAAAGGAATGCAAAATATTTCTTTGCTTTTTTTTTCACTCGTTATGGATTTATTTCATTTGAATCTAAAACCAAACAAGAAATTATAGTTTAATTAAACTGTTTGATGCCATTAAAGAAAATACACAGTTTCACACCATACACAAATAAAACAATCGGATGAGAATCAGTAACGCAGAGCAGGAGACAGCTGTAATGGTCGAA